CCAAATGGCTATTTCAGTATTAGTTTCAATACTAGAACTCATGGAAATTAGCGGGAGAACATTTTAAAACAAATTTGAGGAAGCACTTCTTTGACCAGCGTGTAGTTAGAATATGGAATAGTCTTCCTACTAGTGTAGTGCAAGCTAAAACCCTGGGTTCCTTTAAATCAGAGCTAGATAAGATTTTAACAACTCTGAGCTATTAGTTAAGTTCTCCCCAAACAAGCTTGATGGGCCGAATGGCCTCCCCTCGTTTGTAAATTTCTTATGTTCTCATGTTCTAACTATAATAAGGGAATACGAGAACAAAGAATGAATCAGTAACTTGTGACAATTTTGTGATATAGTGCTACATAGTATGTAGTAAAAAACAAAAAGACTTAAATGCCTCCACCCTAAACTTCAGTTTGTGTACTCTATTTCGGTTGACCAGTTTTGAGTTTCCGGAAAGTTCATTCCCAGAGGGACAAACCTGATAAAGGACACTGACTGTGATTCATGGTATTTCATACAGTAGACAGTCTAGTGTTGCGGTATCCTGATGACCATCATAACCGTAATGCACAGTTTCACACAATTCCACCTTGTTTCTTTGCAGGCACGGTATATAAATACTGTTTTTTAGTCAGTGGTGGGAGTGCAGTGTACGAGTGTTTTTGGATGTTAGCAATAATACTGTATGTGTGGTGTAAGGTGTTACTGTACGTTTACCGTACCTCTTCTAGCTAACTCAGCAGCCTCAGAGTGTGGTACACTACTCACATCAGTCCCATTCACAGACAAGACGTAATCTCCTACTTGGAGTCCGGCTTCTTCTGCAGCACCATCTAGAACCAGACAGAAGGACAATGCTTTAAAAATAATTATTATTTACTACCATCCAATTGATATATCCTGGTGACCATATTAACTCATTCCTCCAGAAGTCTAGATCATCACAGAATGGGATACTTTGTTTTATAATAATAATAATACCCATTACCTGTGAGTTTTAAGGAGACACACAAGTAAACACGATGAATACACAGTTTTGTACATTTTGACTTATACTTACTTGTGTCGACTTCTGTGACCACGATAGGTTTGGAGAACTGAATTCGGAATCCCCAAGGGTACTCGCCCGTCCCTTTGCTGATTCTAACTGTCCTTTCTCGAACTGCAAGTGAATACAAAGGTCTGATTTTGAACATCTGGTGGCCACACTCTTCTGAAGAGCCGAAGTAGTATCAAGCAAGGCAGCATAGCGAACATGCTAGAGTATACCCTGGATGGGATGCCAGTCCATCACAAGGCACATACACACACTCAATAATACTTAGAGATGCCAGTTAGCCTGACTGTTAATCTTTTGGCTACGGGAGGAAATTGGAGTATCTGGAGGAAACCCACATGACAGGGGGAGATCATGCAAACTCCACACACACAGAGCATAGGTCAGATCCAAACCCCCATGTAATTAAATATAGGTGTGAGTGTACTTACTTGTAACAGGCCGTGGTCGCTTTCTGAGGCAACCAGGGTCATTATCAGAGTGGGCCTCATCTCCACAGTACATCCACGATGCAGAATGGAAGGTCTCAGTGTAGAAGCCCCTGTCTTCGATATCCCGCATATTCAGGTCCACAGAGTGAGTGTCCTCTGAGTTAACTGTAAACCGCGAACGGCACTCATAATCTGAGAGCAACGTCACACTACACAGTGTGTATCTACTCAAGAAATATCAACAGTATAAGGGACCAATGAATAAGACAGACAAGGAGTAAGGTCTTCCAAGGTACTCAACCTAAATTACTTCAGTACAATACCCAGGTGTGATAGAGGCTAAATTGTCTGTCACTTTAGATTAATAATCCATCTTCTAACAACATATTCTGGTCAGAGTCCTAAGGCGTTATCCCTAGGCACAGGGCTAGGGTACACCGTGGACAGAATGCCAGCCCATGGCTGGGCACAATAAACCGATAAGTACAATCCTAGATACTCGAGGTTATTCCATGGCAGTGACGCCTTAGAGAGAGAGGGTTGTACCTGACTCCTCGGTGATGTTGCTGGTGACGGAGCTCCCTCCAGCTGAGCTCCACTGTTTGCTCTCCTTAAAGAGTTTCCGTCTCTTTGCCCACCGGTCTCGGGCCTCTTCTATGTCTTTCAGAGCAGGTTCTGGGGGTCTCAGGTGCTCTAACGCATCAACCTTCCCATCCACATAAGCTGGAAAGTAGCACACTATGGTCATTCAACTTCAACACATTTAAGTTCTTTGAGAATTTACAAATATCTCTCCATATATCCTTCCATTCACCCATCCATTGCCCACCTGCTTACTCTTAGTAGAGTAACAGAGAAATGTTACATAAAATCACATTATTCCTGCTGTTGGATATGTGGCATCAATAGCGGATAATGCTGGTGTGGCACCCTATGTGCGCTTTACCACCAGTCCCCCCGTCCAAGACAAATAGGAGATTGACAAAGCCGGTGTCCTCTCAGAAGATGGTGCCTTAGGCAGCCCCCCATGTCACTTAATGGATTCATCAGCACCGCATGGTATGAACCTTTTAGAATGTTCTAGGATGTACCTTCTAAGATGAATGAGGGTCTGGCCATTCCCAGCCATGTAATGACATTGTCCTGCATTGTATTACTCTGTATTACAGGCACTTGGTTTTACCAATTGATTTAAGTTTTGAGGCACTACTGGACAGACTGATATAGTGGTTTTATATGTGTATTGATTAACAAGTAGATTGCAGTAACATCACTCACTTGTTGCAAAAGTTTGTTTCTCGTCTGGATCAGTTTTCCACATCTCAGATTTGTTATTTGTGGATAATTTATCCTGTGGGCCAACAATGGAACAAGTTATCTCTGTCAAAGTCACAGATTCTTCCTTCTCTGCATTAATACTGGTTCTCCTCTCAAAGCCTCCACTGTCTATTGCTGCTGTGGTGTTGGTTTCATCTGCTGACAAACTGTCCACCTCAAGAGTCTCCAACAGGATCTGGACTGCTGAGTTTGTACCAGTAGGGGGTGAACTGCATTGAAGAGGGAGACTGACTTCATGAACTGCATCATTATTGTTCTCCTTGTCTTCCATGTGTGGTACTGGTGAAGCTGAGGACCTTTCATGAACAGTGCTGAAAAAGTTCTGATGTATTCCTGGTTCTGAAACATCTGCTGGTTTAGCATCATTATGAAGATGCCGTTGTTCAGAACCCCCAGTTATTATTGTAATCACCGAACTACTTCTATTCTTTACAAGTGAACTGCTCTTGTTGGCTAACAGCCAAGGAGGTTTTGATAGAACTGTGCCATCTTTACATAGAAGGTCCTGGGAGGTGCTTGAAGAAGGTGTGACATGTATAAGCAAATCCTTCATCATAGGTTCTTCGGTAGATACCTCTTCAGCCTCTAATGTCTCTTGATCAAATCCATCAGTCTGGTCTAGAGATCCTGTCCTGTGCTTATCCAGAGATGACTCTTTCATGTGTACATTATCCCCGAAGGTCATGTTCAATGCCACCATATTTTCATTTGGCATTTTGCAGTGCTGAGCATCATTTTCATAACTTGAACCAACTTTAGAGGGATAATATGGGTTTCTGGTTTGTCTATAAGATGAAATGTATGGAGGTGGGCTATTGCTCTCAAAATGGCTGATGCTGATTTCAGAGGACTTACGTCTCACAGTGTGAAAAATAAATGGTCTTTCATCCTCCACATCAACCTGTGCTGATGCCGTCATTGCTTGGAGCTGTAGAGACTGCATGAAAAAGGGAGAGAGGATTTCAGAGGAAAACGACTCTGTGTGAAGAGGTAAATAATCCTTCCTTCTTTTAGAAGAATCTTCACTTCCTGGAAAGGTTTTGCTTCTCTTGAAGTGCTTGCTTAAGTAATATGAGATTCTTGATTTGGCTTCTAGAATTCCAGTACTATTATTTCTCACTGAACACTTCCCTTCATAGTTAAGGATAAAATCTTTGTCAAAACTTGATCTTCTGATGACCATTTTGGGTTTCATGAACAAAGGCCAATAAGTGTCCAATAGAGAAAGTTGATGAAATAATGTTCCACTGGAGAAGTCCTGTACGGAGAAATGTCTAGAGATAATTTCATTCTCAGGTATGTGGAGGTGCATTTCCACCTGCCTGTGAAACGTATCGTCGGAGCTGATGTGACAAGAAGCTATCTCCTGCGTGAGATCCTCCAGTGAGCTGCGGTCTCCATCCGCAAACTCCTGGGGAGGGGAAGTATCAGAGAGTGCCTGGGGACACGTCACATTGGTTGGGGATTGATTTTCTTGAGTGTAGACTTCAGACACAGAGCATGTACTGAGAATCCCTTCTGGTAGCATGGGGTGATGGTCATAAAGTTTATCATCATCACAGCAACTTTTGCAGCAAACAATTTCCTCGTTGTAATTTGAGCCAACTATGTCCTTCCCCATATCATGGTCTCTTTCTACACGCCGGAATTGGTACTTCTCATTGGCTGTACTACAGCTACCTGTTGTAGAGCTTTGGCTTGGTGAGTAAACATTGGGAAGCTTGTTATCGTCTGGTGTGGAACATCTCTCCCAATGTTTTGTAGAAGAAGCTTTGTTCCTCTGTCTCCTTCCTCTATGCATTGTGAAGGTATCAAAGGTCTCAAATTTCGATTTACTGGAACGCAAGATTCCTTTTGCTTCAACTTTCACACGGCGTCCGGTGTACTTCACCTTGGTGGTGGTGACAGCCATTTTTCCATGGACTTGACTCCTGCATGTTGAGTCCTGGGATTGCCGGAAAACTATCCTCGATACTTTCCTGCCATTTACCATCACAGAGGTTATAATCTCCAGTCCTCTTTCTCGATTCCCAGCTGCTGAAATGCTAGCTCTCCTTCTCTTCTTAAATGTTTCCCCATAATTGTTTCTTCTGAATTGTTTCTCCTTGAATAGAATATCAGCCTCTTTCTCACCCCCTTCATCTGATTCCACGATGGAAGATTCCATTTGGAAGGAATCTGCTTCTTTTTCAGCCATGCCATTTTTACATGTGGCACAGTCACAGAGGATTTTGTTGTGCTGTTCGTAAATAAATGGAGAGTAGCTTCCTGTGAAAGAACATAAAAATAATTTTGTATAATTCCAAACAGGCCAGTTTTAGGAATTAATTCCTTGTAAACTTGGCAACAAGACAAATTTCCACCCATAAATAGTTTTCATATGACACCAGTTCTTTATCTGCATTATGTGATAATGGTAAGCTATCTATATTTACTTGCATATTTTATTGGAATGGATGGATGGATAGATAAGTAGATAGATAAGTAGATAGATAGATAGATAGATAGATAGATAGATAGATATGCCTCCTACGTTTGCTGCTGCAGGAGCTCCACTGCCTCCTAGTCATCCTCCTCTTCCTCCTGCTCATTCTTTTTTATGCTTCACTGTCTGCACATCTGTTCCTTAACTATAACGATGAGGACAAACGAAACAATTTCTCAGTTAATATAAGCACATATCACATGCAATTTTAACAGTGAAGATATAAATGTTGAAAATGATCCTGGTGTCGTGTCGACACAGAAACCATGTTTATGCCTCAACCAGTAGACAATGTTATTAATTTAATCAGTGTTAAAGAGCTGCTTATTTTCCATTCTCCAAACAGAATGAATAGAAATACACTAAATTAGTAAAAAATTATACTGATACTGTACGATGCAAAATGCCCCAAATGAATGCTTTTTAGTGTTGTTCTTAAAATGTTTCTTTTATTATAAGTATAAATGCAGTAAAGCAATCAACATTTGTGCACCATAGCAATTAGCATGGTCAAAAATATCTGATCTGGAGAAGCTGACTTCAGAGTACCTACTAAGAATATGTAAAATGTATGTTTTGTTCCCTTTGGATACATACTAAATCAGCATTTGCTTTTCACAATTTTTTTTGAACAATCTGAATTTAAAGGTGCAACACAAGCAGAGCTGTTTCTTTTAAAAAACCATTCTTGCATATAATTATAACCCCTAACTGGTTTAAATCCTGCAAAGAAATACTTCTCAGTAGTTATTTAAGTGTTTTGATAAATATAAATTTTTGCTAACTGGGATTCAGTTACTCCCCAGGTCCCTTCATCCGTCTATGCATCTCCCATAACCTCTTACTACAGGGTCTCGATAAGCCAGTAAGTGTAGGGCTGATATCAGGGGACACCTCAGATAGGATGCCAGGCCCCAACAATCGCACACTATGGGCAATTTAAATGCACTAATTAATTAAGGACGTTTTTTGAATTGTGCCCAAACAGGAGCCCCTGGACTAAGTTGATGCCAATTCATAAGTTCCTGCTTTGGCAGAATATTAGTATTCTAGTTTGGACTGGATTCAGTAGATATTTTAATCTATGAGCTGACTCACCCATATGCTGTAACTAACCAGATCTTCTGCCCGCACAGTGACACAAGTGTTAAGAAGTAACAAAATGGCTTCGAATGCTGCAGCCTTGAGAAGTCTTAAGAAACGGCGTTGTTCACGTGTTCAGGTCTGCTCTACTTCTTAGACTTGCTATTTTGGTCCTTAAGCCCCAAATCAGCTTATAAGGTGTAATCTAATAAAGTGCTTGTGATGTCATTGTCAAAACACACGAGTCCTGTTTAAGCACTGTACTTTGCACGACCAGCAAGAAGATGGGGATACTCTTCTTGATACTTGGTGACTGTTGTCTAGATCATAGCCTGACAGGCTACTAAGACTGCTGAAGTATGAGCTGCTTATTTTATTCAAATTCAAAGCGTTTCGGTGATGACTGCAGTAGCAGTGATTTGCATACTGTCATGATTCTAGAAAACTGCACTGATAGAAGACGCAGCATTATAAAATCTCCATGCTGTATATACACTTTCGCGCAAGAACAGTACCACACATGCATCTATGCCTTCATTTATCATAAACCCAGTCGCTTTGGTGTTGATCTTCATTTGAGATCACCTGTGGAATATCTTGGGCCTCCACTGCAGTCACCTATACGTGCACATACAACCATTTAGAGGCTCTTAGTCATTCTAAAGGCCAGACAAGTCTACAATAGTCTACAGTGACCAGCTATGTGCCTGTGCTGTTGCTTTTTATAATTTAGTGCAATGACACACTACCTGGGAACCATTTTGGACGAAAGGACGAAATATCCTCTGATATTAATACTTATGATAAGGAAAAAAATAGTTACATTTCATTATTTTGTTTATTACTTGACTTATCCTGTTATTCAGTTCACTACACAGTAGTGTGTTCTATTAAATTAGCTTTAGCAGTATTTTAAAAACATGCTAATGATTATGATTTCTGTCCCATAACTCACATGTGAGAGTGGTATTTAACCCACAGTAACCTTTGAACCATCATATGTATTGAATTAAAAGATGGCAAAAAAAAAATGCCTTACCTCACGTTTATCGTGGAAAGTAGCTGTGTTCTATCTTCAGGGGGTAGGAATGAATGAGTGAAGAATGGCTCCGCATGTGCCTTGTCCTAATCTGGTGGAGCTGGACAACCAAAACGTGTCACAGAGCAGCACCGGGGCTCAGCGGGATTGAGGCCCCGTGATTAGAAAGGCTTTGTGCGACTGCTACACCATTGTTCTTTTTAAGCTGTCTGGTGGTGACACGTTCTTTGAGGAGTTCAGCACAGGAGAGCTGAATAACTGCCATGTGATCATATTTTACCCCTATACTCTACTGTGACCTTGAAGTCACAATATTAGAAAAATTATTTGACTCTAACTCATGGCCTTTATGCTTTTAAGGTTATAATGACATTCTCATATTATACACCACCCCATATATTTACAAATCGTGTGTGATGTGGTCATACAGATATCTGGGGACACATTTAAATAGCAGGTTGGAGTGGATAAACTACACAGATGATTGGTACAAGAAAGGTCAGAGCAGGATATTCTTTCTGAGAAAGCCAAAGTCTTTCAATGTGTGAAGCAAGCTAATGTGGGCGTTCCACCTGTCCAGTGGAATTTACTATATGATCAATATACCATATGGTGAAAAATCTTAATAGATTAAAACTCTAATTATAGGACAGTGTATTATATTAATTTTTAATATAGCATTTACATAGTTTCTTTATGGAAAGGATAAGCAATATCCCATGTTACCTAATTCTCTTGAATCATCACTATGCTTATTTAAGAAGTCTGTTTGGTCAGAATTCAGCGTTTCTCTCAGTTTCCAGTAGATGGCAGTAGGTGCTTAGGCCTGGTTCATGCTTCCTGAGCACAGACACGCCATAGTGCTGTTCCGTCCTCGTTCCTGGATGTTCATACTTCTCATGCTAACGTGCCAGGCATCTGTGTACTTTGAAGCTGGGCCTGGGGTGGCGCTGTAGAGCAAATCTGCTCTCCAGAGGGGCCTAACTTCAGACGAGGCTTCTGTCTGCTGTTATCCATGCTTGACAGAACCATCAGACATAACTGCATGGCACACAGCACAGAACCACATTGCTGTACTTTGTTCCTTTTCCATATCTGACAGCTCCTTCAGCAAACAGATGCAAATGTGTGGTGAGGGCAGAATTAGAAGATACTACAATAATAAACACATTACTAGTGTCTGCCAAGCAATTATCTACTCCATGTCTACATCTGTGTCTTTTTATTCATTTTTGCAAAACAATTAATCCTTCATCAGAACATTTCAAATGCACATGCAGTTACATAAATATTCATTGGATTTTTATGATTATTTTGTTGAAAGTGGCCATTTTGTTCATCCGATGAAAATCAGACAGCATTAAATAAGGGTTCATATAATTAATTGATTAAACTATATCAGCTGACTTAATATATATCACAACAAAAACAATTAACTGTTGGTCTGCTATAATGTTGTTTCTGTGCTTGTGCAGGCATCTGTCTGGTTACTGTTACATGATGATTTACACATAAATGTTGGAACAGGAAGGGGCCATCCCCAAACCCACAAAGTTGGGAGCATAAAAATTGTCCAAAATGTCTTTGAATGCTGCAGCATTAAGAGTTCCTTTCACTGGAACTAAGGGGCCAAGCCCAACCCCTGAAAAACAACCCCACACCATAACCCCCCCCCCCAACACACACAAAACTTTACACTTGGCACAATGCAGTCAGGCAAGTACTGTTCTCCTGGCAACCACCAAACCCAGACTCATCCATCGGATTGCCAGACAGAGAAGCGTGATTCGTCACTCCAGAGAACACGTCTTCACTGCTCTGAGGTCCAGTGGCAGTGTGCTTTACTCCACTGCATCCGACGCTTTGCATTGCACTTGGTGATGTAAGGCTTGGATGCAGCTGCTTGACCATGGAAACCCATTCCATGAAGTTCTCTATGCACTCTTCTTGAGCTAATCTGAAGGCCACATGAAGTTTGGAGGTCTGTAGCTATTGACTCTGCAGACAGTTGGCGACTTCTGCATACTGTATGTCTCAGCATACATTGTCCCTGCTCTGTGATTTTACATGGCCTACAACTTAGTGGCTGAGTTGCTGTTGTTCCCAATTGCTTCCACTTTGTTATAATACCACTAACAGTTGACTGTGGAATATTTAGTAGCAAGGAAATTTCACAAATGGACTTATTGCACAGGTGGCATCCTATCACAGTACACACGCTTGAATTCACTGAGCTCCTGAGAGTGACCCATTCTTTCACAAATGTTTGTAGAAGCAGTTTGCATGTTGAGGTGCTTGATTTTATACAGCTGTGGCTATGGAAGCGATTGGAACACCTGAATTCAATGTTTTGGAGGGGTGTCCCAGTACTTTTGGCAATATAGTGTATCATCTTGTCCATTCTGCAAAATTACACATTCAAAAACAGTGTCAGCAGTTCACAACTTAATGTGAACAGCCTACAGAAGTTTCACATTTCAGTGTGTTTAAGTTGTGCTTGACAAATCCCCACTTGGGCCAAGCTTAACTGGAAGTGTGGTTGATTAATGTGCCAGACTATTGCACCAGAATTCTGTGCTTTGTGGAAAGACAGCATTCTGACCTGAACATTCTGTCCTGAATATGCTTTTCTGAGAATTTCCACCTGCACATTCCATCTTGATCATTTCAGCCGATGTTTCACAATACGTCTCTCAAACCAATGACAGTGACAGTGTGGGAGTACTGCTTTTCTCTGCTGCAGCCTGGGGTCATTCAACTGATATGCAGTATTTTCCACATGATGAGCTTCCTTCATGCTGAGTAATGGATAATTGCCTTAAATATAAACAAGCCATGATTACAACATTCTTGGACCTTGGGCATATTTCTCTTCCTGTTTTTTTTACCATGACACACAGAATGTAATTGCCATAAACGGAATTGCGAAGACATTGACAGCTGATTATGTTAAAAGATACTGCTGTATGAATGTGAGCCATGAAACAGACATTAGAAATATACAGTATAGTGCATGTGATTAAAATTGGGGGTAATATACACTGCCCGTCCAAAAAAAAAGTCGCCATTTGAATTTATATCAGCAAATACTTAAAAGTCAATGACTAGATCATTATTACAGCTCAGCAAAGTTATGCAGCAATAAAGTAAATTCAGCTGAGTACCTGAATCTACTGAATGGCCAGGTTACACCTCCATCCATCATAAATGGATTTTTTCTTCCCTGTTGGCATGGGCATATTCCAGGACAAGAATGCTAAGATTCTTTGGGTTCAAATTGTCAAAGAATGGTTCAGGGAGCATGAGGAATCATTTTCACGTGTGACTTGGTCACCACAGAGTTGTGACCTTAAACTCATTGAAGGTCTCTGGGATGTGCTGAAGGAAGCTTTATGGAGTGGTTCAACTCACTTGTCAATACAGGATCTTGGTGAGAAATGAATGCAAATCTGGATGAAAATAAAGGTTGAGATGTTGCATAAGCTTGTGGAAACAATGCCATGACAAATATGCACCATAATCAAAGCTAAAGGCGGCCCAACAAAAAATTCAAATGGCGACTTTTTTTTTGGACGGGCAGTGTAAATGCAATTCTGTTGCACTAATTAAATATTAAAGAATTACAAAGTTACAGTGTAATGGATATTACTGCATGTAGATAGATAGATAGATAGATAGATAGATAGATAGATAGATAGATAGATAGATAGATAGATAGATAGATTGTTTTTCACCATTATCATCACTGCTGTCATAGCTGACGACGCTATTTGAAGAAATTCTGAGGTGATGTTTACTGAATCCCTAGCTGAGAATATGGGCACGAAAGGAAAGCTTTATTTAAGGCGGCAAGTGTGAAGAGAAACAACTGTGAGGCAACAAATATCTAGGCGATGCGACAAAATCCTTGCAAGGTTATTTGGACATCAATACTGTCAAAAAAACAAGGACTCTTTCACTACCAGAAGACGGTGTAAGATGAAAGTTTTTAATGGTCCAGAATGACAAAAATATGCTATAAAACAAAAATAGAATGAAATGCCAGTTCAGGAATAACATCACACTTGAAAGAGTAAAGCAGACATCGTTTTACTTTGCATCTTCTTTGCTGGTCCCTGGGCATAAACTGTTTTCAGCATGTGATTTGAAAGGAAAAGATTCTTTATTTTCAGTACAGGTACATAGGAATTCTTAGTTTTTGCATATTGCACCTTGCTGTCCTTTGAGACACACATATAGAGGTAAGAGTAAAGCCTGAGGAGAGAGGTCAGGGGCACCCCGGGGGTTGGTTAAGGGCCTTGCCCAAGGGCCCAACAGATATGTGAAAATTCTGCATGGAGTTCAAAGCGCCAACATTCCAATCACAGGCAAAGACCCCTAACCCACAGATCCCAACACCACCGCCTATGATTTGCAACCATATCAGGTTTTAGTCTGCTAATATGAAAGATTATCACACTGTCTGTATAAATAGAGTTTGAATCTATTTTCCACTTTCTTCTACTTTGCCAGGAGTTTCAGGTGACAAAAGAACCCTCTAGAGACAACTTTCCCCAGTTTTGCTCTAACACACCAGCATTCTTCTCACTTAGACGCTGTTTTAATTAACACACAGAACTATCTTTGCAGCATTTCTGACACATTCTAAACTGAGGCAGCAAAACTAAATTTGAGCTTCTGTGCAGGCCACAAACAGCACACTTAATCCACATGTAGAAGTTTCACAAAACTTAAAAAATATTATGGCTACCATGACATCAGGAGATTAGGGCCCTGCAGACACTTTTCAAGGGGTGGGTGCTTGACAGGGGGAGGGCATCCCTCTCATTAAAACTGTCAGATCAGGAGGACGGGAGTCATCGCTGATTAGAAAGGGGCTCTCAGAACCTCATGATGGAGACACTATTAATCATTCAGGGGCAATAAGGGCAGATGCTCAGGCACCCCCGGTAGCCCCCCCACCCCCACCCCCCTGCACATACCGATGCTGGAGATTAGTTTTCCAAATTCTGTCATATTTCATTAATTCACAACTGTGCATTCTGAATACAAAAGGCAAAAAAAAACATTGCATTGGAAGGAGATATAAGTGGTTAATGTGTGCATTTTGAGGGCCTTAATGTATTAGGTGCCATGCATTTAATTCACAACTAGACATTGGTGATATTTGTTACTATTGAGTCACTTGTGCGAGATGACATCAGCAGGGATGTGTCACCATGTTGGATATTGGCTACTGCCTTCAGAAATCTAAGCTTGCTAAATGACATCTTACTCATGTTGGTATGCATACTCTATAGATGCAGTTATACATACTCTATAGATGCAGTTAGGGAGTAACTAAATAAATGAAAAAATAAGTATGAAAAGAAATGTGTTTTTATAGTCAAGTTTTACTCCAGTCAAATGAATCAATAACTGCATGAAAAATTACAAGAGGAACAATTACTCTCTGCTGCACCAGTTGCAGGAATAATGAGGCAGACAAAATAAAGAGCTGACAGGATAAGTGGAACCTTCTAGAAGACAAGTTGGCCCATGTCCATTATGTAACATAACAGGTGTTAGAAAGATGTTTAAATAGGATATCATTTTCCTGAAATTTTCCGGAGACCACCCCACAAAGGGTGGCGAGTATCAGTTACTGATTATATAATGCATCTACATTTCTTGGTTGAATTGCTTTTTTTTGGATCTTTAAAGAGTGTGCCAGTTTGCCAGTGCAGTAGGCGTGTAGCTTTCCTAACCAAGGCAGGACGGCTGACGCTGTTCACTGGCTCACTGAAAGAAATCAGCACCCAAATTCATGTAAACTTAAGCTGGGTTGTATTTTCCAGGAAAGATTCTGCTAACAGAATAATGTCCAGGACCCTTTCATTCTCAGTGATGCATGTTCTAAATAGTATTTTAGTTTTGACTATGGTTCACCAGACATTTATTGTATATCCAGCAATTAATCCAGTATTCTATCCATATATGACCTTTGAAAATTACCATAGTTACAAAGTACAGCCATTTGCCAAGAGAGTGCAATGATTTGAATATTTCTCATGCACATATGTTGATGTGTAAAGCCATGAAACTTGCAGACAGGCCAATCGAAAGATGCTCTGTTAAACTCGTAAAGATAGCAGCTTAGTATTTTAAAGTTTAGCATTTGTGGGTGAAAGTGTAATTTCCCTCTCGTGAATCAGACCCATAACCCTGAAGGCCAGAGGCTACCGTGTGAAACACTGGGCACTGAAATGATCACAAAGCATGTGTCATGCTGTCCAGGATCAGCAGTCTGATCACACATTGACACCTGCAGAAGATGCAGGCAAGCTCTCTGAGGGCATTCGCCTATAAGCAACATCGGCCCATGAAATATAGGTTACTTCCCCTTTTTTAAATATGTACACGTTTATAAATGTTACAGCGTCATAATTTATCTGGATGAATGACTTAACCGTTTTTTTCCATGAATGAAAATAGAACTGGTCAGGTGTAGTTCTTGTCCAGTATAAATTTTCATATAGCACTTGCTGCAAGTGTCCACTCTCCAACACAGTGCCCATTAGGCTACACAAGCGGCCACCTAGGGCCTTTGTCAGCCAATTTCACTTTGTCTCAGACAGGGGGCGCTGGCAGTGAAGCTTGCCTAGGGCACTACATGGGCTCTGATCATCATCATTCCTCCTCTCAGTTCTGTCTTGTTAAGGGACATAAATATGCTCTTTTATAACTTTAATTGCCAAAAAGCTATGATGCATGTTGCATTACCTTCTAGAATCTGCTGCTCACTCAGTCAGTTTAGCTGTATGGAAATCAGGCTCCTGGTTGCACAACACTGACATTAAGGGCTGGGCCAAGGCAGCTTACGTAATGCTTAGCAATGTCAGATGTACAGGGGGCGGGGTCAGGTTGAGAGGGGTGGGGTCAGATCAAAAGTGGGCGGGTAAGATTGTGAGGGGGCGGGGTCAGATCTGAGGGCCATGTGCATCATTATGTGCCTCGATATAATAAGATGACCTGCGATGTAGCAGGAATCACATGGATTGCTAGGGAGCGTGTGCTAGTGCTCCCCACAGAGACTGCAGCCAGGCCCGGTCTACCTGCACTGGAAACAGGCTGCAGCCCCTTTTATGGTTTACCGACGGAGAGAGGGACCAGCCGGGCTTTTGTAGGCACCGGCTGAATGATCTTCTGACAAGTGAGAAACACAGTGAGAAAGCGACATTGCACCTGATGTGCAGAATCTGAGCAACGGGAAGGTGACAAGAAAGATCAAACCGCTCACATAAATATAGTCAGATGGGCTTTACCACATTTCACGTGTATTTTTAGGTTTACAAAAAAAAGGGCAAAAAAAAAAACTGCCACTAATCACTAAAACCTTACTTGTCAGGATGCACAAGCAACAGTTCTCGATGAGCTCCACAAATAAAATTTCTCTGTTCCACCATATATTCTTTCTTCTTCTGTGGATTAATTGCTACTCAGAAACCAAGTCAGAGGTGCATGGCGCCATCTGCTGTGTGGGATTTATTATTTTTCTTAATTTTTTTAAAGGAAAAAATGTTACAAGCTAATTTTTTGATCCGATACCAGAAATATGGAAATGACACATTGAAACCTGCTTATACAATTGGAACATGTAATGATATTTATTATTAATAAAGCATTATCTACAGCCAGTGATTTCCTCTGGTATGTAACAACATAATAAAATGCTCCCCCCCACTTTGATATAAAAGACTACATTACCCAGAAGTCATGCTCATTTTCCCTGAATCATTTCCTGCAAGTAAGTATACCATATTTGTTACCTAAATGTAGCAAAAATTAATGTGTTTGCAGTATAGAAAGCATTGGTACTTGTACCCTAATGATTAAAGCATCTGTTCCTTTTTTTGTTACACTTGCAGGATTTTGAAGGCATGAAACAAGAGAATAAAAGCTGAGGTCAGAGAGACTAGCTGTTCTTTTTCCATTGTAACACGCCTTAGAAATGACTGTGCAAAGAACAAGGCTTTAATCGCCAGCCTGCGAGGCAGAAAATCACTCCGTTGATTCCATGCTAACCTCAGGTATTATGACCAGTAGGTTTTCCTCACCTTTATTAAATCACTGCACAAATGCTCCCGTTCTCCTTTGAGCCCAGTGCTCCTTGCAGATTGTTATTACTGTTATTTTCATTTTTGCCATTATTGCATCGTTTCGCTGAATGATTGCATTCTAAACAGCTTATTGCTTTGGCTGCTTCTACTTGATTTCTGCTGAATATTTTACTGCACAACAAAAAAAAAGGCAAATCTTTTGCTAGGGTCTGCTAGCCTATAATGTGAAAAAGATTCAATGTGTATTCATATACGTAAATATACTCGGCCCATATATAAGAATTCATGGCACTGTTGATGTAAATTGATGCACGTTATTTTTGTCTCACGGTTAGCTGTTCAGATAGGCAGTATTTCTGTGAGGACTGCTTGTTGAGGTCTTGAGGGATCTTGACTCTTGAGTTGCTCGACTTGACCTCCATTACGACAAAGCAGCCACTAAAAGCTTGGTTTCATCTCCCCACTGTTCTCCATATGGCGTGGTATCTGCTCTATCACTATGGGACGTCTTTTTCTTCAGTTCCGCAGCTACACATGAAACCATTTATTTTTCCATATCGACAGCCTCCGCTGAGGATAGCCCTGGTTCTAGTGTCTATTGTCAAATGTACATTATGCATGTAAACAAAAGAAATTCTCTACATTTTTAATTCACCTCATTCTATTTCTCCAGCTGGGTTGTCTTCTAGACAGTCCTAGTGAGGCACTTACTCAGGAAATGATTTTTAATGTTATGCTATTTATTCTCTTCAGTGGTACTATTACTTTGTGTGATCTTGCATTAGGAGAGCCAGCTACCTATGTTGTGCAATAAAACTGACCTTGACTTCAAACCACAGAGCAAGGCTTCGCCTAGTGGCTGACTCTAGAACATCATTTGGGGAATACCCATACAGGCTGAAGGGATTACATCCCATGGCCCTTTAGGCGAAACCACTATGAACATATACTGTAAGCAAAGGCCTTTTTTGAGAAACCCCTGGTTTATTTCTGTAGCTACAAAATTTTGATGATGAGTCCCAGTCCATGTCAGCTACTCTTAAACCAGTAAAAATGGTGAGGCTTAGGCAATGTTGCTAATGGCAGTGGTGTGGGAGTTACAGGGTGCGGTCTGGGTTATCACACATAGGGAGGTTGGTTCTTCTGGTTTGGAATTCGTTTGGGAGACTGGCAGCGTCGCTTCTGAAATGTAAAACACACTGTCATGGAAACGCGTGAAATTTCCATCTCTTTTCATCTTACACTTCAGGCAGTGTAATAACTTGCACTGGTCTGGCAGTAAAAAAAAATTAAATAAACTCGCTCAACTTTCAGAAGTATGAAAGTGACAGATGCTTGCTTCTAGAACAAAGCATAGAGGACCAGAATACAGAACAAAAGGGATTTACAGCAGTGTTTGCACCAAAACATACAACAGTGGTATTCAGAATGGGGTAGAATACAGTAAATATTCTGTTACCTACCTATCTATCTATATTCACTGCAGCTATTTAATCTATTGTTTAGTCTCTCTATCTGAAGGTGCTTCAATAGGCCTGCCTCTTAGTAATCGAAATAACTTAATTTGAATACTGTAGATGGAAAATATGATGCGGAAGAAAGACGAAAACATTTCCAGTGCTGATAACGAGCTGCGGAAGAAACAGACTGACAGGTGAAAGTATTAATGAAACGGTTGTCAGCTGGGTCAGTCAGCCCCCAATGTAAGTCCACCTGTCAAATAGACAAGGATTAGATTATGGGGGAAGAAAGGGAATTCCTTTGAGGATAAGGTGCGGCCTCTTTCCGGCACAGGACACCGTGTCCTAAAAGGCTGGTGGCTTGTTTGGGAGAGGAAATGCTCCATCTTCACAGCTATCAGATCAGGGGCGTGTATACAGTTGCATGTTACATTAATCGCTTTTAAAGGTGAATGTGTACTTCCATACCAGTTACCTCCATCCCTGGTTATTATGCTGATACTAGAAAGAGCCACATATATATTTAGTTCATTTATTCAGTCATTAATTCATATATACTAGTTAAATTTCTAAGGAAGGGAAAACTCCCTCTTAAGCAATACCTTCTTTCTGAATATCCTCAGAAAAGGTGAAATAGGAGACCATAGACCATAAACCTAGTGTCAGTCCGAAAGCAGAACAACCATTTACAGAACAAACAGAACAGCGCATGAACAGCATCCAGCCTTGCAGACCATGTTAATAATGCGATGAAAAATTGAGGGAGAATGGAGGAGATCTTGGATCTTGGGGGCAGAGGAGCTGAACAGGTGTGGATGATAGAGATCCGGCCGCGGGATCTCCAGGTCTCTGGGGATCACCACAGAGAGCAACACCACGGTGTGCTAAATTTAGCGCCGGAACAAAGTGCCCTCTGCCAACATGCCAGTGCTGGCTATCAGACCATCTAAAGAGTGCAAAAACACGGCAGCGATCATGGGAGGCTGTGCTGTTTCTGGGGGTCCACTCAAAAAGTCACCCCCATCCCCCATCTATGTTCGTAAAGTTTGTTTTTATCCTCACCAGGTCTTTCATTGTTTGTGGTAAAGAAACTGGTCAGCATATTTCCTGCATGTCAGAGACTTCCTGTCTTTTGTTTTCTTTCGTTTCATGGTGCGGCTGGGATTCAGTCACTTCATGGTTACATATATCACATGGTATTAGCCATCAAGTCAGAAGATCGTAGCTACCTACTGTAGCTAGTTAGCAGATCATACTGCTTCAGCATCTCCGATCTTGAATAAGGAATGCGTTTATTTAATAATTAGTGTAGTGACTGTTTGTGACCACTAAGAGGCCCAAACCTTGGGACCTCACGCGAATGAGTAAACACTGCTGACTATATAGCCTCCTGGGATAAGGTCCAGGCTCACTGCCACGCTGTACTAGATAAGTGGTTATGGATAGCGGATGGATAACCTTATGTTACATTATCGCTGATGTCATATAGCTGCCTTCCAGAGCTGATAATCATCAGGCATTTAATAAGTGTATGTTCGTTCATTATAGTCTGGTGAGTTATATTTAATAATGGAAACGGGAAGCTGGCGCTTGATATTTAGTTTTGTTTTCTTGCAAACCATTAAGGTCGGGTGACCACGCTTTCTGAGAGCAGAGCGACATTTCCGGCGGGGACCCGGAGCGGCTCGAGTGCTGGGTGCCTCCTCCGAAACAGCGCGCATAATTTCATTCATTCAATAAAAACCCATTAGCGAGAAAGAGGTGCAATTAAATGCTTAATCAAGAAACGTATCGGCTGCACGTAAAGGTTCCCGCGTAAACAATTAACAGAAGGCAGTTTGCGATCCGTTCGCTCGGTTTAATTAACTTTGCCTATGCAAAGACGAGCGCTGGTGCTCGGAATGTAGATTGCCAGATATTTCATTATCCGAATCTATGCTTACTGCAATATGCTTCGTGGCTGTGAGTTACTCCAGTAATTACTCGTAACATAATAGCTGATAATAACTAATGATGGTAACAATGTGAAGTCAGTAGCACAGAATTTAAATGAGTATTTATTTCTGCCTGTGTGTTATACTTGGGATTTTGATTTTTCTTATTCTGTCTAGGCAATGGGCAACTTAAAATGTTTTCATCATCCATCCATCCATCCATCTTCATCGGGGTTATGAGGGATCTCAGGCACTATAATGTTTGAAGCCAGTAAAATGTTTTCACTACTTATTTTGCAAAAATACATAATTCTGTCATATTCCTTTATATATATATCTGCTGTGATTGTTTAAAGTGTTTGTAATACTGTACATCCCGAAGTCACATTACTACCATGAACTATATATAAAGACAATATTTTGTTTAGATTTTAACAGGTTATAAATGATATAATATGTAAGATTAAATAATATAAGATTGCGTGTATGCTAAGGTTCTGATAAGTGACTAACAGTTACTATGCGCTGACCTTAACCCGCAAATCTTTTTTCCTGTTTTCTCTACAATGCAGGGTCGGTTGGTAGTTCTAGAATTTGAATTCAAGCTTGACTATAGTCGCTGGCTTATGTTGCTGTCGTAAGTCTACAGATCTTATAGTAATTGTAAGATCTGTTTGTTTAATGAAAAAAAGACTAGCTAAAGAATATTTCACAATGTAATGGTAACGATTTTATTTCGCGTGTCTTGGTTAGCTGTCACCGTGGTGACGCTCACGCGCCACGAGCCCGTCGCCTTCCCCAACCCCAACCACTTTTGTTGCGCTTTCAGCCCTTTTCACCCTCCGTGTGTTTTGCCACCTCCTGTCAGTTTGACATTTCACACTCGAACCCGCAATCGGGTGTAGGGACGCTGTCCTTCCGGTCTTGCCTGCCCTGGCAGCCTGCTCGTATTTTTAGTGCTCTGTGCAGGTAGCTGTTCATTCTCATTCCTCCGATTTAATTTCCTCGTCCCGATGCAGCCCCTTTTATCCGCTCCTCTGAGTGAGCTTCTGGATTACACTCACCTATTTCTGCTTCTGCTTGTTTTGGGACGGCTTTCCGGTACAGAATCACGAGAAACTCTTAAAACCAGCAATGTGATTCTCACCTACACTTACCTGTGCAGAGAACCGAAGAGGGTTCCAGCAATAAGCAGCACTAAACACCTGAGTTACAGGATGTCGCATGACTAGGAGGCCAGGAGATTCCACCAGAAAAGTCTGTACAGGGAAAGCAGAAGGGAACAGGTACATTTTAAGGCCCCTGCAATCAGCAGTCAACCAAAGGCAGCTGTGCGTTATTCTGGTTAGAAACCTGTAATGGGTTAAACAATAACAGTCCCTTTCCAGGATCTTAATATATGTAGATGAAACAGCCAGAGGAGACCTGACCTGGTCTAGGTGGCAGAATAGCTGTCTGACCACAAAAGTAGGCGGGACTTGTTCTTTGCCAAATTTATAGCAAACTTAGCATGAGCAGCCTGTAGCCAATGGGAATGCAAAACGCAGTCCATCTGGAAGGCTTAGCTCAGAAATCAGAGGTAAGTGAATGAAAAGACATTGTGAAATTGTATCCTGTATTGCACATTTGTTCCCATATATGTTTTCTATATCTCGCTAAAATAGATGTTCATTTAAAAGGCTAATTGCTCATGTTTAATTTTAGAATCGCAAACCGTTCAACTTTAAACTACTTGCATGAAATAAGTGACAATTGTAATTAAATATGTCCTTAAAAGTGCCTGCCCACAAGAAAGCAGTGCTGCTGGACGAGTCTTGTGATTCAGTGTGTGGGTGAAGAGAGGCTTTTGTCTGTTGGCAAGCGGCGATGTTTGGTGTGATCCACGCAACGTGGCGTGACAGAGGCACAGAGGCGGCGCACCAGCCATAACTTAATTTGTGTTGCTCTCAGAAGGACTACATCAGTAAATTTCCCTGTACACATATAGAGGTAATACCAGCCGGGTGGGAGCAAACAAAACGTGGTTGGTTGATTGATTGATTGTTCAATCGGCCAATCACTTGTTTGTGTAATGTTGTAGTTATGCCCATGTAGATTTCCCTGGGTGAATTGGTGGTTGTCCTGGTGCCTTGTACTTCCAGAGCTAGCGGCGGCTAATATAGTGAGTTATTTCAATGCTAAAGGCCCCCTTTAGTACAGGAAGTGTAGCTAATAGGATGTGAATGCAAATTCCTGTGTTTTAATCACTGTGTACTGTTTGGTATTCTTATTATAGACATAATAATGTTACCGTACCAGGCAATGGTCATTAACAAGAAAAAGGTCATTAACAAGCAAGTTATTGTATCCTGATATGTAGAAGGTTTACAATGTATTAAACTGGATAATCAGCCACCAAGGGGCTCATTTATATCCAAAGTACAATAAGTTCAAACACATTTTGATATTCCCATATAATTTTAAAATGCTCCTACAAAATGTTTAACTAAAGAATGTTACCAATCTATATGGTGCTGGGGGCAGTATTGCATGGTGAAATCATCAGTATTTGGGTATTTAAGTCTGTACACAGGCAGATCTGCAGTATAGGGAATGGGCAAATAGCCAAAAAGGGGAATTAAATACTGTGAGACTCAGTCACTTCCCCTCTCTCACTGCAGGGAGCGCTGTTAGGAGATTTGTTACATTTCATACCATTCTTCCATGTAGGAGGCCTACAAAGTAAAGACTGCTATGAATATTGTGTCATTAAGGGTTTTTTTTTTCTTTTAAGTTGGAAGGAAGGAGCATGAATCCTGATCAGTGACATATTCTCCTCGCCTGGTTCAGCTGTTCAGCCACACAGCAATTTTTTTCTCTGCAATTTGCCATTTTCAAATCGTCAAGTGAGCTTTATTGTCATACCATCCATATGCAGGGATATAGAGGCGCAAGGTAAGACTGTCCCAGAAGCGCGGTTACAACATACAGAAAGCAGTGACAAGAGGAAGGATGCAGAACAAGGACAGTGTGAAACAGGACACAAGGGTTTATATACATAGTCCAATATCTAGTAAACAATAAATACAGCAGTATGAACTGAATTAATTAATAATGAGTTCAATAGATAATTATTTAAAGGGTGTAGCTCTCACTGTGTGCTTGCTGCTGTTTTGCTGTGCGCCTTGAACGGTATGAAAGTGACGTGCTGTTTCAGTTCCTCACCACCGGGTGGTAACGGGTTGAGTGCGCAGCGACTGTTTCCACCGAAGTTCAGATACAGGATTCTTGGTTGTTTTCGTGTTTCAATGCGTATGAAGAGCAGAGCCTTCTGAATGGCGTTCGGGCAGGAAAGATTGATGGATTAATACTGGGTCCCCCCATCCGCACTTCCGGTTAGCCGCGGTTTATGAAAAAGAACTGGTAAATTCCAGAAATAAATGGTTTATAAGTTTCAAACCACACACCAAATGAATACAGGCTGTAACACGGTGAAATGCGTCAGCGTATTTACACCCAATACAGCCGGCTAGTACCCACAATAGATTATTTTTTAACTAATACAATTTTCTCACTACAGGTTATGTAAAGGTACACACTGCAGTATTTTTCCCAGTAAAATGTGTAACTATGTTTTTTTCCTTATTCCTTCATCCTCTGAGGGGTATAAAAAGCATGATCCTCATTGCTCTGTCATTCCTTTATACGTGATATTTTTTCATTGCTCTATCTTCTCTTAAGAATTAGGCTTAAACATTATAATCCCTTACATTTGAGATGGAGTGCTGTACTCTACAGTAATGTACTTTATTATTGCTATATGTAATGTGTGTAATTTATCAACCAAACTTCATAATAATAGTAATATATACCTTTATTGATCCCCATGGGGAAATTCCCTTTGTAGGTGAGAGCAAACTGGCCACGAAGGGCAGCCACCTATAGCGGCACCCAGGGAGCTGGGGGTTAAGGGCCTTACTCAAGAACTTGCAGATGTGCAAAGGCCAGGCTCGAACCAGCAACCTTCTCATCACAGGCACAGAGGCTTAGTCCACTGTGCCACACACTGTATCCAGTATATAGGTACCATGTACTGTATATGTACATGAAAATTCACTAGTATCCACGGTTGGCACAACGTATCAACCACGGGGGGGGAGACTAAAGTATAGAGAAGGTGACAGATCAGAAACCATCCTTCTATCTTTCAACAGCATCTGTAGGACTTCTGGGGGGGCTAGAGATTATCACAGGCAGCAAGGCTGGGGCAGGATGCCAGTCCATTACAGGGCACATGCATACATTATGGGCAATTTAGAGACTAACTGCAGGTCTCTGGGCTGTGGGAAGAAGCCTGCACACATCACAGAGAGATTATGCAGCATGTTAGTGGGATTTGAACCCTCCACCTTTGAGGTGTGAGGCGGTGAGTGCTGGAAACTCAGAGGCCTGGTTGCAGGTACGGCCCTGACGAATGTCAAATATTCATGCCATTAAATGTTTTAAATTGTCCTCGACGATTTTTACTTGAGGAGTAAAGATTGTGTTTATTTATGGACAAACCCAGGTTAGTGCTCACCAGAAGGTGGCCAAATAAGTTAAATTAGAACCATTAAAGAGCCTACAAACATTAAAAGAGAGAATTCTGTGTGGTGAAATTTCATGACCCTTTCTGATTGACCCCATCTGGAGCACCGTGCTGTCGCTCTTTGTTAGCTCTGCCCTGCCCCTGTTGGCCCCAGCCTCACACACTCTGCTTTGTGTCACTGCCTTTCTGCCCCCACCCTGACGACCCTCCCAGCCACAACACACTGATCCATTATTAAATGGATCACCGCCAGCATCTGTGGACCTTCACAAAGCTGTATGAGATGCAGAATTAAAGAGCTGCTCCGTAACTCTGACCTCCAGCCGGGGGGGGGGGGGGGGTTTGTTGTTTCCCGGGCCCCGTCCCCCCGTGTAGTGAACCCCCGTGTACTGAGCTTTCAACTCATCACAAGTTAATTCTGCTAAAGTATTATCTAATAATGAACAACAAATAAATTATGAAACCAGAGAGACTGCCTTCAGTATTCTAAATCCAGTTGCATTTTATGCTGTTGACTTTGGATCCACAAAGGATTAAATCGGTTCTGGCTGCCCGTATACTGACAGTGATTCCTCCAGAGCTGACAATCATCTGAAATTTAATAAGTATGTGTTCATTCATAATGGTCCTCACATGATACAGCTGCTCTGGTATGGAAAGATATATTTTATAATGGAAATGGGAAGCTGTTGCCCGATTTTCAGTTTTGTTTGTAGTCTGTCACTGTGTTTCAGTGATTAGCACTGTATTGTCTTGGGATAGGGTCCAGACTCCCTGCCACACTGTGCCAGTTAAGTGGTTATGGATATGGAGGGTCTCGTTTTACATCATTGCTGATGTCATACTATTTGCCTCACAGTGTGATGTGTGCCTAGTGTGTCCGTTTCTCTTAGGGTAGTGTTGGCAGTTATGGCTATAAGGATATGCTGTGTGTGGTGGTCATACTTGTGAAAGATTGGAACCTGGTTTACCTGACATCTGAAGTGAAATGAGAGACACCCAGTTTTACAGTGAATGCAGTTCTCCATCTGTAACATTGTGTGTATTACGCACTGAGATACGTGCCCAGTGGATGAGAAAGCAGATTGGATGGAGTAAGGTTAGGGGAGGTGCACGAGTGGGTGTGTATGCTTGATCAAAGAGCAGAATACACTACTCCCCCGCCCCCACCCCACCCCAGAATTTTCCAGTTCCAGCACAAAACACAGGCACTCACAAAGTAGACGTTTAACTTGGAACTGCAGAAGTACATATGTATGGAGTAAATATGAAATAAATAGAAAAGATGGCTGAAATAGAAAATATGGCTTAAAAAAAGTAGAAATGTATGTACAGTAAAATGACGACATGCATGCTCCCGTTTCTCGGGGATCCGAGAAATATCTCGGAGCAGCACAGAGGATTCCGAGTTCAGAATCGAAGATGGCTGCGCCTTTTATCAACAGAAGGGAAAGTTGTAGTTTTATACTGTTTAAGCACTACTTCTCATTAAATCGGTCGCACACACTATACCGTCCAACTTATCTCTGGACATGTTTCTACAGAGTTTTATACGTAAAGCACCATGCGCAACGTGTTATCAACTGATATTGCTAACAATGGCAATTAACCGGGCTAGAATTGGATTTCATGATTAGTCGGATTATTTGTCGGATTTACGGTAGTTCGGGCTAAAGTGAACGAAGATAAAGACCATTTAAACTGAGGTACCTTAAATCCGACAAGTTGTCTGGCTAAGCAAAAAATCTTGCTTTTTGATATGAGTCCATGGTATTGCACTTCTGTGGCAGATGGAATGCATCCGACTCGTGTTCAAGATGTTCAATAAACATGTTAAGTGCATATATATTTCCCTTTTTCTTGAGTCTGTTTGCTCATGCAAAATG